ATTACACTCCATATCAATTTCTAGTTTATTATCTTTAAAAGAAATTGAGGACGGTTGTGTATGGGAAGAAGTTCAAAACAACCAAAAATAACTTTAAAACTCTGAAAAAAATCTTTAAATTTCAAACTTTAAAATGGAATTTCAGACAGTCCTCAGTAAAATACAATTGTCGCACAGATTTGACGGGTTTTATGATAAAAACACAGCAAGCGGAAATTAAGTGACCGTTATTTAGATGTTGAATAGCATAACAATGTAAGACAGATGGGAGAAATGTTGGAACGATTGTCGCAAAAGGCACCAAAACCTCTGATACCCATTAAAAATTCCATGTTATCTAGTTCCCGTTGAACGGCACCTCGAATGTGTCACATTGAAAGTTCCATGATTACCGCCGTATTATGTACACATCTGTGGATGTTGATTAAAAATTTCAACATTATTATGTTTAAGTGATCAATTCTGTTTAAACCGGCGAAAGGGAGCACTTGAACCTACCAGAGCCGTCTTTGGCACTCCTGTGTATTTATGTTTTATTTTGCAGTTTCAGGCGTTTTTAGTGGGGTTTTTTGGAGGGTGGATACATGAATGTGGATAAGTTTTTTCTGTTTCTTTACATTTCTTTGCTTGCTTGCCGAACCTTGTATTGATAATCATTATCTGTTTGTTACGGTTCGGTATACATGTATACAATATGATAAACGAGATGAACAAGGAAAGGCGGCGTTCAATGAACGCAAACCCCACACGACCCAGGAACATGAACCATTGGCAAGGAGCCCAGGAGGATCCTAAATTAAAACTGGAAAGGGCGCAAGGGAGAGCACGGTCAGGCTTATCACTAAAATGTAACTGAGAAGGAAATCAAAGAAAATAAATAAATGAATGATTAATAGGACCACTAAGTTAACGAGCACAGGGGAAGAGGATAGGAAATTCGGGGAGGGGGCGAAATAAAGAAATAAAACTAGGGGCAAAGGGAAGATACTTACCAAAGACGAAAAAACAACAAAGGACACAAACAAAAGTGTCACCAAAACAGTATGAAACAGGACCACTCAGTTAACAGGCACAGGAGAAGGGGATAGGAAATTCGGGGGAGGGGGCGAAATAAAGAAATAATACTAGGGGCAAAGGGAAGAAACTTACCATAGACGAGAAAACAACAAGGGACACAAACAAAAAGTGTCACCAAAACAGTATGAAACAACAAGACATACACCTTATACATTTATAAGTCTCTTAATCTGTTCATTTGAAAATTCTGATCTTCTCAATGACTTTTTTTTTAATATCCTCTACTTAAAATTTATTTCAATTAAAATATGTGACCCTTCCTTTATAGTTACACAGCATATGGCTGGATCACAATAAAGTTCCTTTTTAGTAAATTAATAAAGTACGTCAAGAAGACATTTAACTTTATCAATAGGTTTAATTTGGTATTATATATCGGCAATCGGTGAAAAAGAGCTCTTGAAATATCATTTGTACAAATACTGAATAATTTGAAGTGTATTTCAAATAGTTTCCTTCAATATTTCTTTTACGTTCTTAATTGTCATATAAATATGCATGTATAAATGAAGTCAGTATTTTATCCGAGAGTGACATTTGGCAGTCATTAGCAGTAAACAAGAAGGCAAACCACCAATTGATAAATGTTGAGTACATGTATTAAAATATTTAAAAAATATTAACAACAGTACTTGTACGGAGCCTATTTGAGACCATTGCATTTTAGGTTAAATACAATGATACTTTTCAATAGTATTTAATAATGCACACATTTATTAAAAAATAATGAATAGATTTATTTCCCCCGATATTTTGTTTAATTTAATCTTCATGCGTAACCCACACATACCTGCTAGACACACCACAGGCAATCGGTGCGTGGCTTGGATAGTATACATGTACATGACCACGCCCACTTACTTTTTTATAAATTTTTTTTTTTTTCACTAATAAAATATTTTTTTATTCAAAATATTTTTAAAATATCTTATTTTCAATAAATCAACAAAGAAAATTTGTTTTTAAAAAAATTCATCCATATATACTATTAATATAGTAAAGGTAGAAAGGTTCGCCAGCGGACCTACCACCAGGCCTTATGTTACCTCCCAGATCTTTGTTAATTGTCAACCAATTTTCACCAAATAAAGTGCAATCTACGCAGAAATGATTTTTCTTTCGAAAAATGTACAATATTAGAACAGTTGGTACGACAAAAGATGGAATTTTAAAGCAAAAATGCACTTTTTGTCTAGGTCGGCCATCGCATGACCGAGCCGAAAGTAGACGATTTTGAACATAAATCGATCTTTTTCTTAATAACAAACTAATGTCAGTGCATGCAAACAGTTGAAATAGAAAGGCAGCTATAAAACTATCGCTTACCGGTCCAAAGTTAATCCAAAACGTCTGCAGGTACGCACTTTCAGTAGTTATTTGCACTAACTTTTTAAATTCCCTGACATTACATGTATACAAATGCTGACCCGGATGTATCTGATGCGTACCCCTTTTCGCATAATAAAAATTGAGCGAAGCTGGGTACCAGCAGGAACCGAGCATGCGTACCTTGAATATCCGGATCAGAATTTGTATACATGTACAATGTCGGGAAATTTAAAAAGTTAGTGCAAATAACTACTGAAAGTGCGTACCTGCAGACGTTTTGGATTAACTTTGGACCGGTAAGCGATAGTTTTATAGCTGCCTTTCTATTTCAACTGTTTGCATGCACTGACATTAGTTTGTTATTAAGAAAAAGATCGATTTATGTTCAAAATCGTCTACTTTCGGCTCGGTCATGCGATGGCCGACCTAGACAAAAAGTGCATTTTTGCTTTAAAATTCCATCTTTTGTCGTACCAACTGTTCTAATATTGTACATTTTTCGAAAGAAAAAATCATTTCTGCGTAGATTGCACTTTATTTGGTGAAAATTGGTTGACAATTAACAAAGATCTGGGAGGTAACATAAGGCCTGGTGGTAGGTCCGCTGGCGAACCTTTCTACCTTTACTATATTAATAGTATATATGGATGAAATTTTTTAAAAACAAATTTTCTTTGTTGATTTATTGAAAATAAGATATTTTAAAAATATTTTGAATAAAAAAATATTTTATTAGTGAAAAAAAAAAAATTTATAAAAAAGTAAGTGGGCGTGGTCATGTACATGTATACTATCCAAGCCACGCACCGATTGCCTGTGGGCAACACTAGCGATAGTTTGGACTGATTTTTACTGCTTAAACCTGAAAGTAACTTCAATTACCTCTAAAGATCAATAGAATATAAATTTTAGTACTAACTTCTCCTAGAAAAAATATTAGATTGAACCTGTCTTAACGCATACATGCGATTTATTTCAAATTTGTACTGTCTACTCTATCTTCGGCGGACATGTTATGACGTCATCGTAAAAATTCGATTCCGTGAAAGCTGGTAGTAGCTACCAGTGTGTCTCACAGGCAATCGGTGCGTGGCTTGGATAGTATACATGTACATGACCACGCCCACTTACTTTTTTATAAATTTTTTTTTTTTCACTAATAAAATATTTTTTTATTCAAAATATTTTTAAAATATCTTATTTTCAATAAATCAACAAAGAAAATTTGTTTTTAAAAAATTTCATCCATATATACTATTAATATAGTAAAGGTAGAAAGGTTCGCCAGCGGACCTACCACCAGGCCTTATGTTACCTCCCAGATCTTTGTTAATTGTCAACCAATTTTCACCAAATAAAGTGCAATCTACGCAGAAATGATTTTTCTTTCGAAAAATGTACAATATTAGAACAGTTGGTACGACAAAAGATGGAATTTTAAAGCAAAAATGCACTTTTTGTCTAGGTCGGCCATCGCATGACCGAGCCGAAAGTAGACGATTTTGAACATAAATCGATCTTTTTCTTAATAACAAACTAATGTCAGTGCATGCAAACAGTTGAAATAGAAAGGCAGCTATAAAACTATCGCTTACCGGTCCAAAGTTAATCCAAAACGTCTGCAGGTACGCACTTTCAGTAGTTATTTGCACTAACTTTTTAAATTTCCCGACATTGTACATGTATACAAATTCTGATCCGGATATTCAAGGTACGCATGCTCGGTTCCTGCTGGTACCCAGCTTCGCTCAATTTTTATTATGCGAAAAGGGGTACGCATCAGATACATCCGGGTCAGCATTTGTATACATGTAATGTCAGGGAATTTAAAAAGTTAGTGCAAATAACTACTGAAAGTGCGTACCTGCAGACGTTTTGGATTAACTTTGGACCGGTAAGCGATAGTTTTATAGCTGCCTTTCTATTTCAACTGTTTGCATGCACTGACATTAGTTTGTTATTAAGAAAAAGATCGATTTATGTTCAAAATCGTCTACTTTCGGCTCGGTCATGCGATGGCCGACCTAGACAAAAAGTGCATTTTTGCTTTAAAATTCCATCTTTTGTCGTACCAACTGTTCTAATATTGTACATTTTTCGAAAGAAAAATCATTTCTGCGTAGATTGCACTTTATTTGGTGAAAATTGGTTGACAATTAACAAAGATCTGGGAGGTAACATAAGGCCTGGTGGTAGGTCCGCTGGCGAACCTTTCTACCTTTACTATATTAATAGTATATATGGATGAATTTTTTTAAAAACAAATTTTCTTTGTTGATTTATTGAAAATAAGATATTTTAAAAATATTTTGAATAAAAAAATATTTTATTAGTGAAAAAAAAAAAAATTTATAAAAAAGTAAGTGGGCGTGGTCATGTACATGTATACTATCCAAGCCACGCACCGATTGCCTGTGGTGTTGCCGGTATATTTTCCGTGCGTAAAAATGACAGTTAAAATTAGGCGTAACGGTTTGACAGTAAGAAAAAAAAAGTCTGTAAAATGGGTCAAACCGTTCACGCCGAATTAATTAGGCTACACCACTGCAAGCCCGAAACGTCTTATATTTTGCTACCTACAAAGTTATACATACATGTATATATCTGCTGATGAGTGACCTCACTCCTTAAACATGTATACTGCCATCTCTTCCACTAAATATTACACAATCATGATGTTTGACTCGCAAATTACACGTAGTTTCCTTGCTTTCCCGCCAGCAGAAGACCGGAAGCTGGCTCACGTGGACGTGGGAATCGTGCGTCTGCTCCAATCGGAATGCGTACAGCACCAAACTCCTCGCAGCGGTTACTTCCCCTCATCTGTACAGTAACGTTAAAGTAGCAAAGCGTGACGTAACCGCTGTGAGGAGTTTGGTACAGCACTCGGAAGAATGACGGAAAGTGCCGAAAAGTTGCGACTGTGCAACGCCTTAATTTGCGACCACTTTCGAATCTAAGGTTCCACTGTCCAGTTCTGGTGTCATTATGGGGTAACGTGGTCGTGGCCAGAGAAGGGGTAAACCCACGATCCCTTGGATGGAAGAAAGACATCTCAACGGTTGAACCGGGAGGCTAAACCTGTATCATAAAAGAATGCATTAATTGCATTTCTATTTTTTTCTTTCTACCATTGTTTATGTTTATACAAAATCCTGCAATATTCTTACTTTATAATTTAAATGAAATGGCCATCCTGCCATATATGTTTGTGTAAATATCATTTGTTATCTATGGAGAGGAACTATATAAATTTTCTTTCCTTCTAATCCTTTTCAATTTTATGTAACAATTATACACATATAAAATGTAATTTATGTAAAATATTGAAATGAATATGTTTAAACTAAAGGAATACCCAACGACATATGTTTTAATATTTTAATAAAGAACCAAGTTTTTCGTCTAATACAAGTACATTGCAAAATCCGACAGTATGACCCTGGCTTATGCTGGGCGGCATATCCGCGTGTTTTTTTGAGTATCGAACTCGATTCAAGGAAACTTATTAGTAACTACTCTTATTGTCATGTTGTTATTTACACATGTACAAATATCCTAATTAAAATATGATTAAACCAAGGAAGATTTTATCCATAATTTTGCTGAACATTATCAAATTTGATGATGTAACACAGGATATCCGGAATTCAAAGCATTATCTTTGTAAATGCTTCTGTAGATTTTTCTTGAATTTTAGAAATTTCAAGTGCCGCCATCGTTATATCACCAGCACAAAGGCTATATCAAGTATCAAAATATCAGTCTAGTGCCTGTGTACCAGCCGAAATCAGAAAATTTAGGCAAATAAATTAATCGACATGTATCATAATGTCATAATGCATGTAATTAAACGTTTAAATTCCTCAGAAATCCATATTTTTTTTTAATTCTTTCGAAATGTCAAACATGTGAAACATAAGAATCTAGAGCATGTTCTAAACTAAAATTCTGAAGAAAGTAGCGCTGTACGTGCAGTAATGTGTCGTAAAAGTAGCAAAATGTAAACAAATAAGTATCTTGACTTCATACAAACACTATAATCAAATCTAAAGGCTGCAAGCTCTGTGGTATTTTCTGATCTTTGTAATCTAAATCGTACTGTATATCTGTATGCCTTTTCCTGTACATCGCTAAAAATAGCATTTTCATTGATTAAAATCATATTCATCCGCGTAATTTGTGATTGTGCATTTATTGACAATTCTATAAGCCAACGCTACTTTTAAACTTTGAATGAGTTGCTATTTGTTGGATACTTGTAACAAAATAAAAATATTTCTTTCTTTTAAATCGCTAGTTTTAAGCTGTTTTGAGAACTACTTGTTGTTAGGTTTGTCGTGAAACTTGTGTGTCAGAGATTGAATGTCCGCTATGTATTTACTGATCTTCGATCAGAAAATACAACCATTTGCCAACATAACAAAATCAGCAAAAGATAGTAAATGTACATTTATATGGAAAATTAGTATATTCTTTGAAACTGTAACAAGATACCCAAAATAAAAAAACTTATTAGAAAAAAAACTGATAGCATTTCTGAAGCATAATGTCCCATAATGTCTTTCTCTTGAAGTTGTAGCGATCGTAATTGCCGTGAATGTAACAAATTAAATCAAAGCGCCGAAAGTACTGTTTGCGTCAACCGGTATCACACTATAACAGAACACTTCACATGTGGATGAATGCGATTTGTGAAGGTGTCATATTTATTTGGGCGAATTTTAATTTCACTAATTGACTAAGCAAGAAATTAGCATAAGCGCAAAACATATACACAACAAATGCTTCATAAATCATAATGGTATAGTCTATTAACGAGAGTTTTCATTGCGCAACTTGTTTTTTTTTTCATATGTCTCGTTGAATTCCATAATTGCCACTCACTGAAGTGTGATCATAATGCATGGTTTTTCTATAGTTTTGCTGTAATATAATTACAATATTCAAATTGAACATTTAAAATTTCTACAATTTTATTTTATTTTACTTCATTTTTGGTTTGAAGACTGCGGCATGGAATATTTTTAGTTAAACATTTGTTTTACGAGAATCGCTCATATCGCTTTGATAGACAAGAAAAAATTGGAGATTAAAAACATCCCACAAGCTTTGCGCAAATTATAGGCCTAAAATAGCCTAAAATAATGAAAAAATGTCCTGTTTGGGCCCCAAACACATGTTTTCGTTTGAAAAATGTTGATAAAAAAGTGAGCACTTTTTCGGTGCCGCCCCATCCAAAAGGTACATCAGGGGGTTGCCAGAAGGGGGATGTGCCCCCTTCTGTTTGAGGGGTTTGAATGGGGGCGGCAGTCCCCCTCATCGCCAAGAAAATAGGCTAAAAATGGCCCAGGTCGATCATAAGGTAACGTGTAACCAACGCTGAAAAGCCTTTGACTCCATCTGAATCCATTGAGAAGTTGCAGCATTTTGAAATCAATTTTGATGGTAAAAATCAATGCAAAATAGTGATTTTTTGCAATTTTGAGATGTCCCCTCGTTGCCATGGTAACAGGAAATTTAAGACTGAGCATGTTGTTACAAAGGCAATGGTCCAGTCAACATTTGTGCCAAGTCTGATTAGTATTGAAGACGTTTTTATATAGTTTTATAGCAATTTGTACTTGTAACGGGAGACTTTTCAATGAAAACAGTCAATTTTCACAAAATGCTCATGCAGTAATGGGTAAATATTATTAGAATGCCGGGAGAAAATCTCGATAAATAATACTGTAACATAGATAATATAATTATCATACAAATTTATTAGAAGATAGGAAAACAGATATAGCCCATACTCATGATACTAATTTTTACTAGTTTTTCTTACTTTGTTAAGAAATACGAAGTCGTTTACTTTTTGAATCAATGCATACATCCCTGGTGATGGAATTATAGCTGCAAGCAATTCAAGATGAATAATAAATATTCAAAGTGTCTTTAAATTAGTAGTACATGTATATCAACAAAACATCATGCTTAGCTTTACAGATATACAAGTTAACGCTCCATAAACCACGCGACGCGCCTGTACCATCTTAATCAGACATCAATTAGAATGCTGACAGCTGTAGCTAATAAGTATCATTACTTGCAGTATCACCAGTATTTTTATAGTTTATAGTTCTCTATCTTCAAAACCTAATACATGTGTTTTTAAAGTTTTATTCATAACATTGACAATCACTTTGACAAGATAAAAGGAAAACAACAGGATGTTATTTTAAGCAGTTTAATGGGAATGGTGAAGGAAAGGTGGCATTCAATGAACGCATTACCCTTTAATTGGAGTTTTCAGCTTATTAATTTGTTTGCTTGTGCCATAGGCATATGATAGGCTCGCTATGGCATTGTATTTGTAGAGTGACATTATTTGTTACTAGTATATTCTATGTCACAGTCTTTCCAAGTCTTTTCAGATAAATTGTTACACTAAATTGATAATGCGCTGTCTTGATATAAATCATTATTCTTACTAATTATTACACTCTATGTACAACAGTTTTTTTCTGACGGTCTTGTTAATAAATGAAATTCATAAACAGAGAAAAACAGAAACCGTAGAGAACGCCCAAAACGACAAAATTGAAAAGGTTGCAGGCTCCGCTCGGTCAGCCGTTCTGTACTATGTACTTTGATTTAACCTTGCAATGTTGGAAGTGATTAAACACATAAAAACTCTGGAAACAAAGTGATCCCTTGGAAGCATTAATCACAACAAAATTACAAGAGAATTGCATACTCGGTTTGATTTAGTCTGTACATGAGGGATAATGAATACGTGCAACATCCCTCACGTCCCCTAGCACCAGCTTGAGCGGTGCTCAATTCTCAACGCTTAATAGTGTTGGCATCAATGAATCCGATGGACCAGAAAAATATAACAACAATGAAGTGAAGTACGGGGCAACTTTTTACAGCTGCCACACAGCACTTGACACCTGCTGTTGTGAAGTATAAAAATCTGGAAACAAAGTGATCCCTCGGAAGCATTAATCACAACAAAATTACAAGAAATTACAAGAGAATTGCAGACACATTACACACATTTTGATCAAATGAGGATATATATAATCGTTTGCAATGTTTGTTACTTTAAATTATTTGCATGGATTGTGTAAGCATCGGGTGCAAAAGTTTCAAATCTTCGGAATGTATGGTGGATACATTATAGACATAATGAAGAAATAGTGATTTTCAAGAGAAGATCTATTAATTTTTATGATCAAATGAAAAAAGCACGTTTCTTAATATTACTCCTGGTTAATTCTGCTCCTAACCATCAATGTGAAAAAATAGGAACAAGGCATATGTTTCTTTATTTGGTTGTTAATTTAAGTCTTCAACATTTACAATTTGTCGTTTTGGACTTTCTTTAGGGATTCTTTATTTCTCTCTATTTTAATTGATGTGCAATTCGGTGTGTAATTTCTTAAAGCTCGTTCAGCACGTCATTATTGTTTGGTTTGTGGCATTTTTAGTTTTAACTATTTGGCATTTTCTAGTTGGGTGGTTCCAAAATTCCTAATTGAATAATGTTGAATCACCCTTACGATATGCTGCCTGCTTTTTAACTTTGTCTATGGACATCTTATCTGTGATATGCAGTCTTCATAACCTTCAAAATTACATTTTATTTAGTTCCGTCCATTGTTTTCTCGTTAAAGACACACACTTTTACTTACTTAGGCACATTTTTTCCCTATTCATGTATAGAGAGATCTACTGAATAAAACCAAGTTTTTCAAATTTCTGAGATGTGGTATACTAGTATGTCCATTTTTTA